GTGCTAACCAGTTGCTTGTTCCTAAAAAGTGAAAAAGTATTATATCCTTCTATATATTCTGCATTCCAATTAATGTTTCAATACTTTGTACATTTGGCTGTTCTATGACCTAGACAAATGGAATAAATTTCCACTTATTCACATGCCACAACGTGTTTATTATCAAGAATCCTACCAATTTTGTATCTGATACTCTGTTTCTATACTTGTTGTATCTCAGTTTCAAATCTTCATATGCCATGAACTGAAGTGCTCCATGTGAAGTTCCAAACAGCCCAGGCACAAATCCCTAAAAAAAAAGAAGAGATAAAACAAGGTTAAACAGCAATGCACAAAAATTATACAACTTGACAGAGCTCAGCTTACACACGAGTATGGTCTCCATTACTTTACAAATTGCAACTGCACAACTGTCACTGTGTAGTATGACTCAAAAGACGATTCTGGGCTGGTATTCTGAATGGCAGGCATCACACAAAAGTGTAATAAATGTTACTTTTCTCCAAATGACATACAGGCTAAAGACAGCTAATGAGTGGGCAAGATAAAACAAGTGGCCTAGGGACTCCACCTCATAAAGCACAAGCACAGGTCTTAAAGAGCTGGTAACATGGATCAGGATTCTGAGAATACAAATCAAGTTGCAGCCTTGAAATGTGCTGCTCAGTGCCTGCCCCTTTCCAGGGACTGGCACTAAGCTGTTTAGTTCCCACCTGAGACTGGGAAGGCAATGACAGAAGCTGGTGTCTCAGTGAGGAGGGCCATCAGGAGTAGAGGTACTAAAAAATTCTTGTGATCAAGTCCTGGAGATAAATATGTATGTGTGTGCATGTGTGTGTGTATATATAAATGTGTATCTATGATACATATTCATTTCTATATAAAAAAATGTGTGTGTGTATATAGAATCATAGAATTGTTTAGGCTGGAAAAGACCTTTAAGATCATCGAGTCCAACCAGTAGCCTAATACTACCAAGTCCACCACTAAACCATATCCCTAAGTGCCACATCTACACGTCTTTTAAATACCTCCAGGGATGGGGACTCAACCACTTCCCTGGGCAGCCTGTTCCAGTGCTTGGCAACCCTTTTGGTGAATAAATTTCTCCTAATATCCAGTCGACACTTCCCCTGGTGCAACTTGAGGCTACTTCCTCTCGTCCTATCATTTGTTACTTGGGAAAAAGAGACTGACACCCACCTCGCCACAACCTCCTTTCAGGTAGTTGTAGAGAGCGATAAGGTCCCCCCAAGCCTCCTTTTCTCCAGGCTAAACAACCCCAGTTCCCTCAGCCGCTTCTCATAAGACCTGTGCTTAAGACCCTTCACCAACTTCGTTACCCTTCTTTGGACACACTCCAGCACGCCAATGTCTTTCACAGACACACACACACACACACTCTTGCACAGTGGAAAACTGAAGGGCATAGATGGAAAGCTAACTCATACAAGGACTTATGGACAATTTACATTAAAGAAATAAATCTAAGATTCAGATCAGTTTGAGTGCATTCTTCACCCTGCTCAGAGCATATCCCAAGGCAGCCCAGCAGAGGTGTAACAAAGCAGTCTGGGAAATGTTCCCCATTTGTAAGAGACAGTAATGGACAGTAAGAGTGGTGGACTTGGTAGTGTTATGTTAATGGTTGGACTGAATAATCTTAAAGGTCTTCCAACCTAAATGATTCTATGAGTATAATATGAAAATATACAGAAAGCTTTTCTTTCAAAAAAGTTGAAATGGAGGGGGAAAACAGGTATTCTCTACAAGAAAGAGAAGGCAGGAATTCCTTCAGGAGCGGGACTACCTCAGTTGAAAATGAGCTGACAGCTGCATGTGTTCTGAGAAGCACTAATTCTCTTTTTGAAGAGCTGATCACTTACACTGGAGAAATACAAATAAATGGGGAATTAATCACCTTGGCCAGAAATGGCTTAAGGGAGCCAAAAACTTGCTGAAAACTGTTGCAAAGGGACAATTATAATTGAGTATGTGATCAAAATGTGGGTAAAAGGACTCAACCAAAATTTCCCCCAAAATACTGGTATCAAACAGTTTTATCTTATTTCCCATGATCCATTCAGGTAAGACAGAGGAATTAAAAGATGCGTCCAGACACAAAACTCTGTATTAGACTAAATCAGAAGCCCAGAATGTTGAATAAAGACTTATCAATATACTACTAAGAGCCTGGAGAAGGAGAAGAAAAAGAAGGGATCGTGGTAGGAGTCCACTGGAGTAGTGCAACACGACAAAATGATAAATTACTTCATAAATTCCTAACTTGCAGAAAAAAAAATAGCAGGCATAAAAATTTCAGAGCTTCTATCACTTCAGAGATTAGCTCTCTGCATGCTATAGATTTCTTAAGTTTATGGTATTACAGCCATTCAGGAAGTGATTTTTAGGATCTCTTTGATAAATGAGGATGAATTTCTTCTCATGGTAGACAATAATGGTCATGAACCAATCATCAGTGACCATGAACTGCCAAAATGCATTAAGGGCTAGCTAAAGTCCCAGAAAAAACACTTCCCCAAATGAGAACAAGTGGAATTAAACCAAACATCTATATTTCGTCAGCTGTGAGCATAATCATAGAATTTTGTGAAGTTTGAAGCCAAAGGGCCACAACAGAGGGAAAAGGACAACTTTGGTTTCCAGAAATCCTGGATCAGAAAAGAAAATTAATCACTAATGGAAGAACAGAAGACGAGGAACAGAGAAAAACAAAATTATCGAAGATATCAAAGAAAAAATTATCTGGGTCACCAGAACAAGGAACAGTATGAAATTTGTGTATAATGATAGCAGAGAAAATCTTCACAAACGTTTGCCCGTGACTAGACAGTAAAACCATTAAAAGACAGAGGAAGTAATTGCTCTCTACTTGGAAAGAATTAGAATGATGTATGTATATCATAGGAGAATGAGGTAATATTTTCCCCACCAACAAAAGAAGAATGTTAAACAGCATTTAAGAATGCTAAACTCTTAAATTTAAGCCAGCAGATTTTGACAACTTGCACCCAAGAGTCCTAAAGCATCTACTGAGGATACGTGCTAAATGAGTAACAGCACGCTCGAAGTCTTGTGCTGATGGGGAAAGTTCCAAAGACTGAAAGACTTTTAATGTTGGGCCAATATTAAAAAATGCAAGAAGCGAGTGTCAGCCAATGCGCCTCAGTAAAATAAGAGCTGACCCAGGCTTCTATTGATCATACAAAACAGTATGTTCTTACGGAAAAATGTTTCAAAGCAAAACTGATTTCTTCACAGTAATGAAATATCCTGGCTGAGGAAGTTTTTGAAAGATATTCCTACTCTTTTTTTTATTCTTAAAATTTCACACAAAAATCTTTCTTGCAACAAAATTTGATAGAATTTGATACTTATTTTTCATCTATAATATGACTGTGAAGATCAATTTTAAAATAATTTCACTTTATGTACTTCTTGTTATTTTTTAGTTTAATATTCAAAACATATATTTAGAAGATTTTTGCCATGAGGGCTTAACAGGATCAATGGTTGCTCAAAGAAGTCCTGTTTGAATTCTCTTTTGGAGGATTAGAACAGTAGACAGAATTAAATGTATCATTAGAAATTTAAATGGTGAAGCATAAAATTCTGAACAGCAGACAGTGGGAAAAAAATTGTATTTAAAAGTTGGCTTAAACAGCTGTAAGTGCCAAAGATCCAGGACAAGAGAAAAATGTCCCATTGGTTAGTGTTTCAAAGGTCGCTCATCACAATGAAAAGGAACATAGGCAAAGGCATATAGTGGAAAGCCTATGCTTCTTAGTAAAGTAGGGAACCAGGTTCATTTGGTGATGGGGTACTCACATCGCTGCCTGAAGTGTTTGAGAGCACTCAACCCAGAGCAGCCTCTGCTATACGTTTTGAAATAATGCAGCAGATTCCCCTTGTAATCTTTTTAGTGTTGTCTTCATCTGGATTCCCAGTGTGCTAAAGACCAGTAGTATCAGTGCCCTACTCTGACAACTTGTGCAGAAAGACATTGGAAGTATGCCATTATCTCCCTATGCATCTTGATTCCTTCACGATGAAAAATAATAACATCTTTTATGTGGAAGTTACTGACACTTCCGTCTCTCTGTAGAACCTGGGACGACAGTTAAAATCAAGATGGCCAAATCTGGGTGGATTTGGCTATATACAAGTACAAAGACATAGCAAGTCACTTAGCTTACAAGCTTCACGTTTGCAAGGAGGAGGAAAACAGCATAAGAAAAAGGATAGCAAAACAGAAAGAGCTAAGTGCCTTAGACAGTAACGGACTAGAAAAATTACTTTATCCTCAGAGCATAGAATCTTGCCTACCAAAGGTGAAACGACAATACAGAAGCATCCAATAGATCTATTTCACTTGGTAATGAGCACACATTACTGCCAGGATTTTTTTGTTGTTGCTGTTAGCATACTGCATTATTATTCTCAGTCTTGATGACTCTGTATTTTCCTTTAATCTCCTTAAATTTTCTGCACTTCTCGTTTATTTTACTGTTGTCTATTAAGCATTGCTCTATTTCTAATTGCTGCTTTTACAGCATCGCTGAAAGCTAACAAAACTGAAAATACAAATACAGAAGCATGGAGGCCAGGAAGAATGTTAGTTGCATTTTTGATTGATGTTTTAGTAGTCAGTCACTCTAGACTAGACATGTCGCAGTTTCCCAAGAGCTCAGAGATATTTTGTTTTTCTGAAAGTGCCAACTCCTACAATCTTACAATTATTTTACAGTGTTTGGTCTCTCCTACCTTACGCTTGAAAGGAACCATACAGCACTCTTAACATGGAGATGGTTGCATGACATTCAACTTCATGGCAAAGTTATTTTTAGAGCTCAGATCCCCAACAGATCTATAGGCATGTTCAAATTACATAACCCCAAGCTGGTTTTTTTCCTCAGCCTGGTGTGTGGCAGGGCATCTCTGTCCCTAGTCATCTCAGGGACGGAGGACAAAGGACAAAGCCTAATGGATGCAGGGTGGGAAAGACCACTCACTAAATAATTACTGCGATAATCAGTGAAGGAAAGGCTCCTGTCTTTTCAAAACTAGGCCAAGTTCAAAGAACAAGTTATTGAGGAACCCAGCTTCAGATGAACTATAGTTCAATGAATGAACAATACCCAACAGGCCTAATAAAGACAGCTCTGATCCCTGCTAGAAAGACTGATGCATCCTGACATTACTAGTCTTGCGCCCCAAAGGACTGAAAGGAATTGCTCAGACCAATAACAGCATCCTGTGCAATAGAGAGCAAGACATGGAATTGCTTGGACAGAAATACCATTCTTTAGAAGACTAATCTCAAATTAATCAGAAAGAAACTATTTCCACATTTTTTTTCCAACTTGTGGTGGTATTCTCCAAGATCCCCTTATTTGCTGTAAGGAACTCCATGTGAAATTAAGATTATGAGGAAAAAGACATTCGTGTGCACTACAGCTCCTGCAACTCAAGGCAATTAACAAAACTTCAGCTGTCAAATTTCAAATAAAGCAAGAAAGAGAAAAAATGAAAACTCCTCCAAAACCAGAAAATGGAGGAAGGCTAAAGCATGGACAAGTCAAAGAGCCACCTGAAAAGGTGCCTTTTTCCCCAGTATAGACAAGGTTGAGAGAATCCTGACGTCAAATGGAAGTTGCTCAGTGTGCACAGTTATGTAGGTCACTCAGGACCTATCTAGGTCACCTTCTTTGCAGATTTAAGCAAGTAATTTGCTCTTTCAAAGGAATTACCTGGTTTAGTTCCCCATTTGCAGATTAACACTACAAAGAAGTGTCTAGTGCCAAAGGCAAGACGTTACATGCACGAATAATCTGAAAAGTAACTCAATGGAAGGACTTCTTAAACCCTAGCAGATGCAAGAAATCAGAACTTATCTACAAGGAACAGAGCAGACATCCAGGCAGGCAAATCAGAAATCCTGACAATTTCAGTTTAGGAATAAGTAAGGTGCCTTGTTCCTGGTGTCAGAATTTGGCATTCATTGGTATGTGGCATACTAGTCTTTCAGCATAGGAAGGATTATATGTTTCACTGCAAATAAAAGAAGTTAATGTTCAGTAACCAGGACAATTCCTAAGAGATACTGTTCTTGTTCTATAGCATTACTTGCAGGAGAAGAGCCAGACTGAACTAAAATAGGTTTCTTCACACCTTCCAGGCACTGATGAATGCATTTTGATGTCATGGCCTGAAGGAAGGAGGAGGCAAAAAGTCCAAATCCAGTTGCCATCTGTTTCCCTAAATTAAAGGGAATAAAAACCCCACACATATGCAGACCATATTTAGAAGTCTGCAAATTTTATGGATCCAGAGATGACAGATTACAGACCTCAATAACTAGAGGGCAAATGAGCAGTTGTGAAACCATCCATTGTGGAAGAAAAAATTAGCAACTACTTTAGTCATATGTTATGTTCCACAAGATGTCAGAAAGACAGAGATAAGGGATGAAATGGAAGAAAGCACTAGCAGCAAGATAGATTACTCTATTGCTGGCCTCCTTATCCAAATTCTAATTATAGGAAGACTCCAAAAAATTAAAAAGCAGCTTGTCATTTACTCTCATTTCAGCATTATCACCCAATAGAAGATGGCTTAGCCATAAAGCTTACACTCTATTCTTGAGTGATTTCCTACATTTCAACAGTATAATAGCTTTTCTTCTGATTAAGCCTTTTTGCTGCAGTTCTTCAGTGGGAAAGAAGACTCACAGAATAAAAGTAAGTGAGCTAATACAAGAAATGACTTGCTTTTTTTTTTTTTTTTGTAGACAAGTATTTACAAGTCTCACTATGCTACTGAGTGGTGCCAGCCAATCCTGGAATTTTTCTTAGATTTTATTACCTTATATAAGCCACGTATGCCATCCGTCTTGTATATCTTTATAAGAGCATCAAACATTCCTCTGTATTGCCGCTTTGATGGATCAACACCAGCATTATACTGTAGCACAAGTCGTGTCTTCGTTACCCATATTGGGTTTGTAATACAGAGAGTCATGGCTCCTGAGAACAGACGGAAGTTAGACTGATTGTTATGCCAACTCCAAAGCTTGTCCCAGTTTGTTCAGTCCAGTGTAACACAGGCTTCTACAATGACAAAACTACTTATCCTACAAGAGCACTCATATTACTTAAAACAGGCGAAGTTTATGCCCACCATTGTTCCCTCCCTCTGCCTTCAAAGCTCACAATCCAGTCCAACCTACTCCTGCTGGGGGTACCTCTGTAGGACATAAGGCTTTTTGCATATTCCTAGTACATCCCCCTTTTGGCCTCACCTTTCCACAGTCAGTAGTGTAATCTGTAGTAGATAGGAAACATAAGTAATTTCTTAACATACTCCTGATTATCCAAGTTATTCTTCGGGTATACAATTGTTCAAAATTTAACGGACACCTCAGTCATGAGAAATTTGCTTAATCATATTGACAGGTTAATAGAAGCAACCTACTATAGCTTTATAGATTACTGAAAATACAGTTGTAAAATAAACCATTACTATTTTTCACATCAAACAATATACCTTATATTTCAACATTAAAGAAACACTCCAACATTGTAATAAAAAGTCTTCTCGATTGCCTAGATTAAATATAACACAGAGGCATGTACAAGAACATGTTAGAAACAACATATTAAGTCTTGCTGAGCGAAATTGTATTTTTATTTCAGATCTTTAGTTTCTAAGAAAACTTGGACCATAGATCAAGATTTTCAAAGACCAATGACCAATTCACTTATTCTGTTAACTTCAACAGGCCTTCTGTTTTCCAGGATGAAGCGTTAAACATTTAATGAATTAACAAACTGACAGCAGCAGATTTATGTAGTTATATTTTGGGACTCAGTATAGTACTAAATATGGGAAACGCTTATACACAATGAAGACAAGGTCAAAAGGTATTTTGACAACTGCTATTTCTGAGCAAAACTTAAAAGACCACAGTGATCCATCTATTCATCTTAGACATCATTAATTTATTTACAGACAATAAATGACTCCATTTGGAGTTGAACCCTTAAACTTGCCACCTGTAAGAAAAAGCACCACTGACACACAAAGGCAGGGAGCAACATATGGAAAGGCTAGAAGCAAACAATCTTTGCATTTAAACTCACCAGCCTCTGCAGCTGACACTAGGTGTTCGGTTGCACTGAGACTTTCCAGCTTCCCTTCCTTCTTGTAAGCTTTGATGGCGTTGTAACTGGCAAATGTAAAATATATTTTGGTAAAGGTGAAAACAAACCTACATCACTAAAAAAAAACCCAGACAACAAAACACCTCACTTAAGATCATGGAAAACATTAGGTGGTACACAGCCTTTGAAAACAGATATCTAAGCAAACTATCTTGTTTAGTTGATTAATTGATCTCTGAGAAGTTAGCTCTTTGAAGTGAACTATGGTAATACAAATTTAAATTTATAAAGTATTACTGTTGGTATCAATGGGACTGCATCTTGAAACAGCTGTCAGATCTCAAGAATTAACTTCTAAAAGAAACCAATTAGATAGCCTCCTTTTTATTGACAGCAACAGTGACAGGTATCTACTAGCTCAGAAATACACCGAGCTTTCTTCTCTTGATCCAGTTTCCAGTCTTTGTGGATTGAGAAACTCTCAACAGGAGCTGAACTGTCAATAGGAACCTACAGCAAAGCTTGAGGACTGAAGTACAACAATAACAGAGTCTAGACAACTGACAAGTGAGGCTTGCATAGGCATACCAACTAACTATTCCCTAAAGTGTTTCAATTAGTAGGATCAGCAGTAAATCAGGTCACAGTTGCACAGCTAATAACGTAGCAAAGATTGAGTATTAAAAACCAGGCTTTATAAACAAAGCCCATCAACTCACAAAAACAATGAAACAACTGACTGTCACTAAAATTATTAAAAATCAGTTAAACATTTAGCTTTAGGAGAAAATTCTATCATGTTCTCTAATTCTTAACACATCAGTTTAGGTTTTTATTTTTTGTGAGGTTTTAAGCACAGTGTACTGACACTTTTAGAGGATTCTTCATTAATGATGTCAGTATCTCTCAAGTTCCTTAGTATTTTCACAGCATCAAGGGAATGCACTGTACTTGACAAAGTAACAGGTCTCTGACTCAAATTGCTTAAATTCTAAAACAGCAAACCACAATAAAGGTAACAGACCTGGACTTGCTAAAAGAATCATAAGTTTATAAGCCACTTAACACATTTTTATACCCCCCAAAAGAAGCAGCAGTGTATATCTGAACATTACATTGCACAGTATACGACACATTCTACAGTTGTACTTACAAGAAAAAGTAAAGTCCCCAGGAAGCCCCTGCTCCCAACATGTTTGGAGTTACCCCTTGATACAAGCCTCGTAGTCCTTCATGCTTCCAGACAGTGGTCATACAGTGGAGAATCCCATTGTACTTTGGCCTCAGCTCCAATCCATCGCTTACTATGAAAGAAAGAAATTATACTGAAAAACATTCCAGGAAGCATGAAATGCTGCTGTGTAAAAGCCACCACAGAAGTACACAGCCTCTAAAGCGAGCTGTAAATGAACATGAAACCTAACTGATCAGCTGTATTTTAAAAGTATGCAAGAATTGGGATTTACAGCTTCATAAGTCTAGAGTTAAAGAACTTAAAAAAAAAAAAAGAAGAAGAACTTTTAAGCTCTGCAAAAGGAATGTTCCCATCAATCTGACAAGGCTAAATAAATGCACCGCTGTGCATTTTTGGTGAGCAGCAGCTTTGAATTGAAGTTTTTTGTCTCTCCTTTTTAGCGTCCCAGCAATTTTGCATCATATTTCAAGTGATATGTGTGGGGTCTTTGACAACACGTTTCTGTAAGTAGTTTAGACAAGTCCCAGATATCAACTCTTAAATTCAATCTTCCTCTTTAAAAATGTTCTATAAAGATCTGAGTATTTTCAACAGATCATGTCTTATTGATTCCAAAGTAATTTTTTACCAGAACACTCAAAGGTTATTTCCATTAAAAATTCCTGTGTTCTCCTTCTATTCTCATTGAATGGATTTGCAGGAAAACACTAAATGCATACACTTCTCCCACCCAACAACCAAACAGCTGGTTGTCCAAATACTCAGAAAATATCACTGTCAAAAAGATAAAACACATGCAAGTTTTTGTTTGACAGACTTCACTTAGAACACAGACATTCACATAACTCCTATTGCTGGTGTGGTGGTAACTCCTATTGCTCCTACCGTAACAGCAAGAGTCAGTTGATTACTGATGACATGCATGATACGGTGCATGGTGAGATGACAACAGGTAGCAGACACAAGCTGGAACAGAGGGAATTCTGACCAGAACTTTTTCTCCATAGAATCATAGAATCGTTTAGGTTGGAAAAGACCTTTAAGATCATCACATTCAACCATTAACCTAACATTACCAAGTCCACCACTAAACCAATTAAGGGTAGATTAATAATTAATTTCATTAATTTCAACCTGAAGGGAGGTTGTAGTGAGGTGGGTGTTGGGCTCTTCTCCCATGTAGTTAGTGATAGGACGAGAGGAAATGGGCTTAAGCTGCGCCAGGGGAGGTTTAGGTTGGAAATTAGGAAAAATTTCTTTACGGAAAGGGTGGTCAAGCATTGGAACAGGCTGCCCAGAGAGGTGGTGGAGTCACCATCCCTGGAAGTGTTCAAAAAATGGGTAGATGCGGCACTTGGGGACATGGTTTAGTCTAGTCTACCCTTGATTGGCTTAGAGTAGACTTGGTAGTGTAGGTTAATGGTTGGACTGGATGATCTTAAAGGTCGTTTCCAACCTAAACGATTCTATGATTCTATGTTTCCTGGCTTGGCGGCTGGATTATTTTTTAATGATTTTAATGATTTTTAATGAAAGGGAAATGAGAATAGAATCATTAAGGTTGGAAAGGACCTCTAAGATCATCAGTCCGACCATCAGAGTGATCAAATACTGGAACAAGTTGCCTGAAGAGGCATCTTTGGAGCTACTCAAAAGTAGCAGACAGGACGCTGAGCAATCCAATCTCAGCAGACCTTACCTGAGCAGGGGGTGAACTCCACAGATCTCTCCTGACCTAAATTACTCTATGATGCCAACATAGCAGCAACTTTCATTCTTAATATAGACATGAGGCTAGACTGCAATTTTACTGAAAATTAATCTCAAAGTTTTACAGTCAGTGTAGTTTTTGTCTCCCCATCAAGATTAATCCTGGTAATCATGAATTCCAGATGTTTTCTGTTCAGTGCCACATTTATTATTCATTCTCCTTTGAACTTTGTGTACAGTACTGTATGTTGTGACAGACTTCAGGACTAAAGGCAAAATGCTTTTTCTGAGCACATTATGACAAGGCCTCAACACCTTGACAATTATTCAAAACTAGAACACAAATTAAATTGAAACTAGAACACAAATTAAATGCCTCTTTTCTCCCTCCTGAATGAGCACTGCTCATCCCAAAAACCCTTCTGAATTTTTTTTACCATGCTGCCATTAAATCAGCTTTATAAACACAATAAACAACATGGGAAATCAGACATGAATGCAAGTCTGTCTGTCAACGATGCTGCCAAGAATCTTCACAACATTGATTTCTGATGTCAGCTCTTACTTCCTGGCTGAAGACAAAACATAGGAATCGTTATTTTCAACCCAAACAAGCATGTGAAAGTACATGACCTCCAGAGGTCACCTAATCCAATCCCCTGCTCAAAACAGATCTACTTAGATCAGGTTACTCAGGGACATGCCCAGTTGGTTCCTGAATGCTTTCAAGGCTGAAGAGATTACAGCCTCTCTGGGCAACCTCTTCCACTATTTGACCACTCTCACAGTAAAAATCCTTTTCCCTAATAAATAACTGGAATTTTCCATCTTCCTGCTTGTGTCTGTTCCCTCTTTACGCCTCCAAGAAGAATCTGGCTTCCCCTCCTTTGTGTCCTCCAACCACAGAGTCATAGACTGCAATAATAGCTCCCCTCGGCCTTCTCTTCGTGAGGCCAAACTGATCCTGTTCTGGCAGCCTGTCCTCCTATGTCATGTGCTCCGGCCCCTTCACCAGTCTGGTGGCCTCCGCTGGAATCATGCCAGTATGTCAAAGTCTTCCTTGTACTGGTGAGCCCCAAACTAGACACAGTACTTCAGCTGTAGTCTTACAACTGCAAAATAGAGAGCAAAGAGCACTCCCGCTAGCTACGCTCTTCAAAATACAGCCCAGGATGTGCCCACACTAGGGTATGCAAGGCGGCGTTTAAATCCAACTTTGCAAAAAGGCTGCCTGGAAATGTAATGCTTTAAATTTTGTAAAACTTCTCTGTGATAGTTCACTATTTCTTTTTGAGATCTTGAACACCCATGTATCCATTTAAGGTAACAACCCAAGGATACAGCAAAATGTTTTAAACTCTGTAAAAGGGAACATGATAAACGGGCAACGTGTTTCTCACATTAACAGCAAAATCAATAGGGAGAAGCTGACCTGTTTCCCTGTGGAAAACCAGACAAGTTAGAGTTTTCTGCAAAACCATATCACTACTGTTAACAACCAGGATTATTATAAAATTATTATTACGCTTTGAGTGTTGACAATCTTTGGCATAAAGGTGAACCTGGAACTTTGGCTTGAGACAATCCATCTGTCAAAAACAGGCAGTCTTAGAATCATAGAATCGTTTAGGTTGGAAAAGACCTTTAAGATCATCCAGTCCAACCATTAACCTACACTACCAAGTCCACACTAAACCAATCAAGGGCAGACTAGACTAAACCATGTCCCCAAGTGCCACATCTACCTGTTTTTTGAACACTTCCAGGGATGGGGACTCCACCACCTCTCTGGGCAGCCTGTTCCAATTCTTGACCACCCTTTCCATAAAGAAATGTTTCCTAATATCCAACCTAAACCTCCCCGGTGCAGCTTGAGCCCATTTCCTCTCGTCCTATGGCTAACTACATGGGAGAAGAGACCAACACCCTGCTGTGTCCTGTGGCACTGATGGTCATGAAAGAGAGGGAAAAGCCTGGTCAGCTCTCTAGTCTGCCTGAAAACAGCCGGAGGCACACAGCACATTTGACAGTCCCTAGAAATGACAGGAAGATTAAGCTTTGGGATCGGGG